CATGGTAGCATGGCAGGAAGAACTGGAAATAAAAAATGTCTCCGAGAATGAAAATGGGTCCGTTCCTTTAATGCAGGACTTCTCAGAGCCTTTAGTATGTTATTGTGCATTTTGGATCTCTAAGAGGGGAGTTTAGAATATGCTAACCACCTGCATTGTACTGGACTATAGTATACTGTATTATACTGTATTACATTATACTTTACCATATTGTATCATACCGTACTATATCATACTACATTGCATTACACTATACTGCACACGGTATATTACATTGTACTATACCTAACTATATCATATTGTATCGTACTTTACTACATTGTATCATACTGTACTGCATTACACTGTATTATACTAAACTATACATATCCAGTATGTATAGTATAATACATAGTACATGGTACTACACTATATACCGTATATTACATTGTGCTGTGCTGTACGGTCTTGTCTTGTATTGCACGGCACTGTATTATACTGTACTCTATTGCATTATCGTATCATATTGTATTTTTGCAAAGCCAGACAAGTTCTGGGAAAGTCTCCTTGGGAAACACTAGTATAAGCTCATCTCTCCTCTTTTTCTCCCCTCACAAAAGAATTTCCCCTGAAATCCCAGTACTAAATCTCTACTCCCCAGATAGCAGCACTGGTGCAAACCACACTGACTTTTAACCCTAATTAAGATGGATTCCTTTGCACTAGGATGGTTATAGTCACAGGCGGCAAGGTCATTTTCAAGTATGTTAATAGTTCTGCTTGACAAAAGCAGGGTCACCATGTCCCCAAGCAGGAGGCATGCTGGGAAGAGCTAGCCCCTGCCCATCAAAGTTCTGAAGGCAAAAATACACACATTCAAGGGAAAGGAGACTCCCCAGAGAAGCACCATTATCTTTAAAAATCCATGGTAAATTTTACACTGAAATTAGCAATTCACTTTTTAAAACTGAGGAAGCTGGGGGCTTTTGTTTTGTTTTAAACTGGGGACTGAGAGCAAGATCAAAGCACCCCATCAGTCCTTCCTTGTCTTAGCTGCTGTGCTGGGTACTTTGTTCGATGTGTTCACCGGAGTTTGGAACCACTGGCCACTAGAGACTTGGGGGAACATTCCAGTTGAGACTACTACCGGCCAGGAAGTCTCTGAAATTTCCGGCTGGGGTTTGCATGATGGACGGGCTCACCTTTGAAGAATGCAGTTTTGAAAGTAGGGAGTGGAATTTGAAGCCTGGTGCCATCCGTACAATGTCTGTCAAGTCCTTGTAAATTGTCCCTCCAATTCTGGAGAGTAGTGAGGTGATGAAAAGTTCTTCAGAAGCAGTTTTGGTCATAAGTACCAGAAAGCAACCCTGGTGGAAAAAAAAAAGTGTGTTTCCCAGCACCCAGCGGCTGAAAATCCTGCTTACTCTCCCTCCCAAGCCCCCCTTACTTCCAGGGATTGCCATGTGACATAGTTCTAGCCAAGGTGGGCAAAGAGAATTCTCCAGGGGTACTGGGAAACACTTACTTCCTTATAAAGAGAGACTCCCGGAGTGCATTTACCTTGTCACACGATTGGATTCCTTTACTCCTGCATTCCAGCATGATTCAATGAAGATGTGATTCCTGGGGATACAGCAGCCACCTTGTGATCATGAGGGGGGTATCGCCGACATCCTGAAGATGGTGGAGCAGGAGGATGGAAAGGGCTGGAGGCCTTTGAGACCACCTACCTCCCAATTTCTTATGATCTATAATATTAATAAACCCTCTTTGGTCAACTTGCTTTCAACTGGGTATTTTATTATTTGCATCTTAAAGGATCTCAGCAGACATAGCTATGTGATATAAAATCAAGCATTTTTAGATAAGAAGGCAGATTCCGAACTTCTCTTGAAAAATCAGAAGATCCGGCACTGGGCTCGCCTTCCTACCTGGCAGCAATCTGGAACTAAAGAGACCCTGCCACCTTCTACCTGGGGTGGGTGCTCTTCAGCTGGGCTAGGCTTCCTCCCCTGCCTCCCTCCTGCCCTGCTCACTCCATTCCCTCCCCTGTTGCCTCCAGGTGTCTGACCTTGTGCCTGCTGATCTCTAATTGGACTTTGAGCAGGTTCACTAGGGAAGGAAGGAAGGTCTCACAGACCACGGCCGCCAGGATAGGTCCTGACTGCTTGCACTGTGTGCGACCTGCTTTGCCAGAGCGCCTGCATTAGTAACCCCTCACATCCAGAAGGGGTCAGGGGCACGCAGAAGTGCCTTCGTTCACGGCCACTTCGTTAGTGCCTCGTGGTGTTATTTTTCCTTCATGTTAATAGAGCATGAAATTAAAACGTGTGGATCCACAAAAACACCCGCCTTTTGTGAACGTACGCGGTTCGTTATGGCTTCTAAGAATCCCGCCACAGCTTCACATCATTACGTCCTTTGTAACTTTATAATTTCATGAAAGCTTTTACGTGGCCTGGGGTAGGACTTTCCCTTCAATTACCAGCATTAACAGTGCTCTGTTCTTTGTCACTTTTCAGAATCCTTCCATTTATCTGTAAATGTAAGTTATTTACATTAAATTTCCATTTCATGGCCCAGCATTTGAAGTCATCAGTAATAAAGTGTAACTGTCTTTGTCCCGCCTGCTAAGCAGAGCTCTGGTTCTGATTCTGACTACAGAATCAAAGAAGTATATGAGGGGCACCTGGGTGGCTCAGTCGGTTAAGCGTCCGACTTCAGCTCAGGTCAGGATCTCGCGGTCCGTGAGTTCAAGCCCCACGTCGGGCTCTGGGCTGACGGCTCAGAGCCTGGAGCCTGCTTCCGATTCTGTGTCTCCCTCTCTCTCTGCCCCTCCCCTGTTCATGCTCTGTCTCAAAAATAAATAAAACGTTAAAAAAAAAAAAAGAAGTATATGAATCGTAACTTTTTTTTTTTAATTTTTTTTTCAACATTTATTTATTTTTGGGACAGAGAGAGACAGAGCATGAACGGGGGAGGGGCAGAGAGAGAGGGAGACACAGAATCGGAAACAGGCTCCAGGCTCTGAGCCATCAGCCCAGAGCCTGACGCGGGGCTCGAACTCCCGGACCGCGAGATCGTGACCTGGCTGAAGTCGGACGCTTAACCGACTGCGCCACCCAGGCGCCCCTGTAACTTTTTTTTTTAATAGCATCAAAGGATCCTACTCTTGCATTGTTATTCGTGACTATATTTTTGAAAATTGTAAACACTTAGTTGAATCAGATTATTTGATTTCCTAATTTTACATGAATTTTAGCCCCAGATTTTAAATCATGTCATATAGATTGCTATGGTTTAGCTGCTAAAGTATATCGCATGTGTTTTCTGAGTTGCTTGTGAGTGTAGCTGCTGTGGTTTTTAGAAAGCAAGAGTCTGGCTGTGGATGAAAGGCAACTCAAGCCTTCCCTCCCCCCACCCCACCTCACGACGGGAGGGTCACCCCACGGCTCTGTGCTGACCCCAATTTGGAAGGACCGCAGCTGGAGAGGGCTGCACAGGGGCTCATTTGTAAAAGGTCTTCACAAGGCGGTATGTGCACCCGGGGGCTGAGCTCACGGTATAGACAGCTAATCGAAAGCATCCTGATGGTTCTAACTGGCACACTCAGCCCAGAGCTGCTCGGGTGATAATTTGTACAGCCACTCGAGTCTTGGCAGAGGCAGTCTGTCACTGCAACTGCTGCAAAGTGTCAGTCTTTAGTCATCAAAGATGCACCCCTTCGCAGCAGGCCCAGGAACCGGGAAAACCGCGGGGTGCGTCTGAGCAGAACCGAATGGAGGGAAGGCTCACTGCTTTGAAAAGAACAAACTGGCCAAGGAGCAGCACGGTCTGCCCTCGGATGGCCAAGGTCCTCGGCTGGCTGAGCTAAAACAGGGTATTCTTGACTCTGTTCCGGTGCTTTCTACCGGAGCCCTGTCATGTGGAAATGCCACCTGCCAGACAGGAGGGGGGAGCACGCCGCTGTTTAAAGAAGACCTTCTGGCAGAGTCCTGCCACACTCGGGTCCTCAAGGGGAAAGGTCCTACCCTGAAGCTGCTTCTTACTGCCAGAGGTCACCCGGCCATCCCCTGGAAAGGATCTGGTGCTCGCCAGCCCTCAGACAACTGCAGCGACCCCCTCTCCATACTGGCGCTCAGGCATCTCTGTTTTCACTGTACGGGGTGAAGTCACTTGTGTGAAGCCGTTCACCTCATTTCCTTCTAAATTCAATGATTTAAGAACCCTGGAGGGGCGCCCGGGTGGCTCAGTCCTTTAAGCATCCAACTCAGGCTCAGGTCATGATCTCACGATTTATGAGTTTGAGCCCCGCACCAGGCTCTGCACTGAGGGCGTGGAGCCTGCTTGGGATTCTCTCTCTCGACCTCTCTCTGCTCCTTGCTTGCTTGCTCTCTCTCTCTCTCTCTCAAAAATACATAAATAAACTTAAAAAAAAAATAAAAGAAGAAGAAGAACCCTGGAAAGACTAAGACAGGAGCCCTAAGCTTCAGCTCCATTTCAGAGACGTCTGCTATGATAGGCTGACCTTTCAGAAAGTTTCCAAGTTCAGCACCTGGAATGACCCACAGCCAGAGCTGGCTTTGGACCAGCTGCCCACGCTGGCCTCAGTTGTGAAACACACCACGTCTTTGAATGACTTTTGCTGCCCTGGACAGCTGACACCACGTCTTCCAGCTTGGAGGCTTTATTACGTTTCACGACCATGAAAACATAGGGCGGTGGCTATTACAGCAAACACTGAGGACAAAGGAATGGACCGAGTTGCACCCACCCTCCCCTGGCAGCCTCCTTCCCCACGTCTCTCAGAGACTGTCCCTGCGTCCTTCCTTTGCAAACTCAAGAAAGTTGAAAGGAGACATCGAAAGTAGCAGGAATGCCATCGGCCAGATGGAAGCAGAGGGATAACTTTGAGGAACAGTTGATGAAAAACACACTACAGAAAACCTCTCCTACTGTGTTGTGATGCCGGGGTGGAAGAGTGTGCCCTGGGCTCAGCGTCCATCCTCCCGAGACCGCAGTCATACGGGGCCTTCGGTGATGCCCTCCAGAGGCATGCTGGGCGCGCTGTCCCCTGTGGGCCGCTCATCCTTCTTCAGCGACGTCGGGACTCGGAGGCTGACGTACGGTTTGTGACAAGCTGTGTTGGCCAGAGGGGGGTAGTGCTGTCTGTAGCAAATGTACGCAAAAATGAGGCCAATGACTCCACCCACAAACGAATCTAGGCAGAAAGAGCAAAACGGGAGACACGTGTTACGATTCATTCGTATGTGGCCAGTTACGTTTTCCAGAAAGCGCTTTTCCCACCTGCCGCGGTGACTGGTTTGCTTGCCGGACCCCCTGAAAGACCACAAGAAAGAGAAATCATGCTAGAGGTACAGACCTTGGTGGCCTCTCCAGATCTTTTCACGTCTAGAACTTAAAGATCCCTTTACAATGTTCACTTGATTCCTCCCGATGTCTTTAATATGCGTTTGAGCACCGCACGAACTGAGATTTGCATTCTCGAATTTCAAAATCAATTCCAGATTCTGGAAGGAGTCCAGCCACCTCTATAGGATCTAGAGACCTGTGATTTTGGTTCTTCTGCAAGTTTCTACTAGAGACCCGCAGTATCGCTGGCGTGTACAGAAGAAACCCGTCGAGCAGGCAGTCTCTGCCTCATGGTAAGTGATTTTCCAGGGAAGAAATGAACCTTCTGAGTCACAAAGTGAAGAAAACATTTTGTGACACACCAGGATCGCCGACTCAACAGATCTCTGGTGTGAGAATCCCAATCCCCCTAACATCTCGTCAAGTTGAGGGGCTGAGGGGACAGAGGAGGCAAAAAAAAAAAAAAACCAAAACACAAAAAACCATCTACAGGCAGAACAGGTACCTACACCATGGGGGCAGCCCCCTTGCTAAGAAGGCATTCAGCTGGGGGCGCCTGGGTGGCTCAGTCAGTGAAGCATCCCACTTCGGCTCAGGTCATGATCTCCTGGTTCATGAGTTCGAGCCCCACGTCGGGCTCTGTGCTGACCAGCTCGGAACCTGGAGCCTGCTTGGGATTCCGTGCCTCCCTCTCTCTCTGCCCCTCCCCTGCTCGCACTGTCTCTCTCTCTCCTTCAAAAATAAACATTAGAATTTTTTTAAAAATTAAAAAAAAAAAAAAGAAGGCATTCAGCTGATGCCCCACAGCGACCCCATGAATGCAGCCCACCCCAACAACCCTCATTTGGTGTGTGTATGCATGTGCGTTGGCACTTTAAACTGCGTCTATAGATTATTCTTGCCAAAAAGACCCCAGACCCTTCGGGAGGCTGCTGCCTGGGGGTTTCCACTTCCACGTTTACCATCTTGTTGGACTGCACACACCTCCTATAGGCAGACAGCATCGTGAATTCCTGAGTGGGGTCACAAGGCATAATTAACGGAATTAAATCAAGTTCCTCAAAAGGAGAAGCTCTTCACATTGCCTGTGACCGGCAGCCTCTAAAAATGTGCCAGGACTCAAGGGCTCAAGGTCGGAGAGTTGGCACTATTGTTTTGTGTTTCCTCTAACCCCAGGGAAGAGCCCCGCGTGGGGGCATTATTTTTATCAGGGTCTGAAATGACCCAGGACATCTGCATTTGAGCCTCTGACTACTGAACGGACCAAATAACAAAACCCACAGATAATGTCATTTGGCTTTCCATTTTCCGGGGCTTAGCATCCCCCTGGGTGAACCACTGTCCATAGGACATCGAATCGTTCTGAGTATGGGTTCCCTAGGCTGACGGCAAGGCGAGAGGCAAGTCCCAGCCATGCTGTCTTCCCATTTCGTTGAAAGAGCGGACAGGGGTATCACAGGTCCGCCAGAGTCATTAGAAAAAATAAGGGCAACGCAAGGTCTAGGCAAGCCGCCTTCTCAGCCAAGCCATCTGGGGCTTTATTACAAAGGTGGTGAACAAGGGCCAAAAAAGGACTTACTTTATGAGGGAGACGGCCATCAAGTGCCTCAAGTGGGCTATTGGTATTTTGATGAAATCAACACTCACGTCCTGTAGGGCATGTGCTGACAGAAAAGCAGGCAGCGGACAAACAGGCGTTTATTAAGGGAAAAACCACTTGGGATGGATTTTACCCTAACTATGGTAGCATGAGACCAGAGGGTTCAAAAGGGGAATACACGGATCTCCGTGTCCCTGAAGTACGAAATACTGGAGTCTCTTTACTCAGCATCAATGTCATGTGTATGTGCTGCACAGGTATCAGGGGTCAGGTGTGACATCTGGTCCCAGGGCACGAGGTTGAATACAATGTACACATCCACAGTCCTAAGGGGCCGGATGGACACTAAACAGTGACAGCCTTATCAGTGAGCTGCCTCTGTGCCATATGACATGAAGGAGAAGTGAGGGTCTGTGAGATCGCCCAATGGAGTAGCCTGGGCTGGTCTGGACCCGGGGAGTCTCACCAAGGACATGGCCCACGGGCCGGCCGTGCAGGATAAGCAGGCGTGACCCGGGGGGAAGTGGGCAGTGGAGACAGGGGAGGCACCTGCAGTCTTCCAGGCAGAGGAAAGAAGGAAGGGGCTTGGCAAATTTGGGTGCCTGAGAGAAGGATTATCTTTTGCCTGGCGGTGTCTTCGTAATCCTGCAGGACATACGACCATGAGGTATTCCAACTTCAAAAAAAAAAAAAAAAAAAAAAAAAAAAAAAAAAGGCAGGAAGGTGTCTGGGGGGTGGCTCAGTTGGTTAAGTGACTGACTCTTGATCTTGGCTCAGGTCATGATCTCATGGTTTGTGAGTTCGAGCCCTGTGTCCAGCTCCATGCTCACAGCATGGAGCCTGCTTGGGATTCTCTCTCTCCCTCTCTCTGCCCCTCTCAGCTCACACTTGCTCTCTCAAAATAAATAAATAAACTTAAAAAGAATAAGGGGCGCCTGGGTGGCTCAGTCGGTTAAGCGTCCGACTTCGGCTCAGGTCATGATTTCACGGTTCAGGGGTTCGAGCCCCACGTCGGACTCTGTGCTGACAGCTTGGAGCCTGGAGCCTGCTTCGGATTCTGTCTCCCTCTCTCTCTGCTCCTCCGCCACTGGTGCTCTGTCTCCCTCACAAAAATAAATATTACAAAAACTAAGTTGACCATGAGGTATTCATGTACCCTCAGGTAATATGGACACTCAGCATGGAGCAGGGACCCCACGGGCTTTCTGGGCTGCCACGTGTGCATACTTCTTAACCCATACCCACCACCCAGTATTGACTTCCCCTTGACAACCTCCCTCATCTTCGTTTCCAAGGGCCCAGCAGTTCTTAGTAAATGTTTGGTGAATGGACATGTGCTGAACAGCACTGACAAGACGCACTAGAGAATCGACATGACCAGCCACAAAAAGCCACATATACTGTGATTCTATGAATGCGCAATGCCCAGAATAAGGAAGTCCAATGAAAAAAAAAGGAGGATTAGTGGTTGCCAGGAGCTGGAGTAGGGGTTTCTTTTTGGGGTGAAGAAAATTTCCTGGAATTAGATAGTGGTGATGGCTGCACAACTCTGAACATACTAAAAATCACTTTAAAGGGAATGAACTACAAGTTATGAATTATACGTCAACAAAACTCTTTACAAAGTCGGGGGAGGGAAGCAACACCAGATGGGCTCCAACGGTGGTAGAAATCAGGCAACCTGGATTTGATTCCCACTCATAAAATGGGCCCCCAACCCCTTCTCATGAGGTCAAAGGACAGGACAGGCTCTCTCTGGGTCTGGCAAATGGAAGGGCCAGGACATCCTGGCCGTGCTCACTTGGTCTGGCACAAATAAGCAGAAAGGCTTCTGAAGATGCACTGTCAAGCCCCCTGGGGGAGCAAACACATCTCTCTGTTGCCATGGCAACATCCAAGCTCACTAAGCTGGCCTCAGTTGGGCCCTTGTATGCCTTGGGCTGTATGACCCAGGATACCAGGGTAAAAATTAGCTCTGACAAACTCAACAAGCCCACATGACAATTTTTGCCATTCCGCCACAATGGACTTGTGGAATGAAGTTTCCCGTTTTTGTGACTTTGAGTCTCTAAGAAAGAACTTTCAGAGCACAGAGGATGCATGTTCCATCCGGTATGCTGGCAGCCGCGGTGTGGTCTCCCTCAGTACCACACCTCCCGTGGGGGACATGCCCAGCACACAGGCACAAGAGGCCGGATGAATGAATGAGAGAATGTTTAAGGTGTAATTGTTTGGCTCATTTTTAAAGGAAAAGAACTTAGAGAGGAAAGGTTAATTTTAATAAAACCAGTGTGAAGAAAAACATGATACTGGTAAGAAAGGAACATGATTTAGTTAAAATCATTCATTCATTCATTCATTCAACACATTTACTGGACACTGTTATGAGCTGAATTGGTGGCTCCCCACCCTGCAAAAAAAAAAAAAAAAAGATATGTTGAAGTCCTCATTGCAGTTTTCAGAATGTGACTTTAGTTGGATACAGAGTCCGTGTAGGGGTCATCAAGTTAAAAGGAGATCATGAGGGTGGGCTCTAACCTAACATGACTGGTGTTCTGGTAAAAGGGTAAATTTGGACACAAAGATAGACACACAGAAGGGAAGAGAGTGTGAAGAAACACAAGGAAAACACAGGGGGCACAGATTGGAATTATGCTGCCGTAAGCCAAGGTGCATCTGGGGCTACCAGAAGCTGGAAGAGGGGAAGGATCTTACCCTACTGGTCTCAACGGGAGTGTGGCCCTTCTCACACCTTGATTTTGGACTTCTAGCCTCCAGAGAGAACTGTGAGACACTTTCTACTGTTCTAAGCCACTCAGTTTATGGCACTTTGTTACAAGAGTCCTAGGAAACTAACACAAGTACCCACCATGTGCCATGCCAACGAAAGAGACAAAAATCTCTGCCCACATGGAGATTAGACTCTAGTGCAGAGTTCACAAACTAGGGCAACTATTTAGTTATATATTGTCCATAGCTGCTTCCACACTGCTACAGCCAAATCCAGGAGCTGGGACAGAGAGTGTATGGCCTACTTAAAGCCTAAGATATTTACTATCTGACCCCTTACCAAAAAAGTCTGCAGACTTCTGTTCTAGTGGATAAGGACAGACAATAATCAATACATAATAAACTACTTAGTTCATCAGGCAGTGATAAATGAGCAAGATGAGAGCGCTAGGAAGCTCGGAGGAAGGGCTGCTAAATCACCAGAGTGACCATCACAAGACATCCTCAGCCAGAACGTA